TCGAGCGGAAAACTAAAAATAAAAGAAACAATGATAGTTAACCAAAATGATTTTAACTACTCCCTCTTTCACAATTTATGCAACACATTTCGTTTTTTAAGAGTCAAATCGTATAAGTTTGACCTGGAATTTGCATATGAGATCTTCAAATTTTTTAAATGAAATTATATATTTGTAAACTACATAAAATACATTATAACTCACAATAATTGACATATATGAAAAAAATTACAGTCAAAGACAAACTTGTTTAAGTCTCGAAATCTAAAATGTGACACATAAATTGAGACGGATGGAGTAATAAAATCAAGAAAAAGAGAAAAGAAACAATCTAATTGCCAATGAACAACAGCCATCAGTATCACATTCTCTTTTTCTCTGTCTTTCCTGTATTATTGCTCTCTTCTTATACTCAACTTTTTTTTTCTCTAAATATTTTCATAAAGATTGATTCTTTCCTAATAACTCCTATATTTAATACAAAAAATTAGAGAAAATAGTGCTGTTTTTGTACTTGTCCAAGTTTCTTGATTTCAAAGTATTTTTACTTTTCTAGTCAGCTTAAAAGCAAAATCTTGATTTTCTGTTTTCTTGATTTTTTTGTTAAAGAAGAAATGTTTGGGAGTGATTGTTGCTGTTGGGACAGTTTCACTGATTACAACTATGATGAAATTGAACCACAGAGCTTTACTTTGCCTTCACCAATTCCACAATGGCCTCAAGGTATTTCTGTTTTTGTTTTTTTATGTTAAAGAGATAACACAAGATCTGTATTTTGTTCTCAGTGGACTTTGTCAGTTTAATTTGTTTTATGGTTGACTTGGTCTAAAAATGAATGTAATTATCTATTTGTTACTAAAGTTCACATTTTTATGCTAGTTGAGAATATATTCTAGTATTTGTAATTTACCCCTTTTAAGCCGAGTGTCTATCAGAAACAGTTTATCTCTAAGAGGAATAGGTAAGGTCTGTGTATAGTTACTCATCCCGGACTCCACTTGTGAAATTAGACGGGATATGTAATTGTTGTTATAATTTAGTCTTGGGTTAATTTACAATGAAAAATCATGACGTTCATATAGCTAACCCCAACTTATTTGAAATTGAGGCATTGTTGTTGTAAAGTTCACATTCTTATGTGGAAAGAATATGTAGTTCAGTTGACTCTCTCTTTCTCTCTCTCTCTGGTTGATTTGAGCTAAAAATGAAGAATTGATTTACTACGTCCGTTTCAATTTGACACGAAGTTTAAGAAAATAAATACTTGAGATTTTTGAGTTGTGTGGTCCTAAATTGAAGATATGTAGAATATACTATATTTACCTTGTGGTTTTATATATGTCATACAGAAAATTTTGAATTTTAGAGTTGCCAAAAACGGAAAGAGGTACTTTTTTTTAATGGACTGAAAATGAAAGTAAGACAAACAAATTGAAACAGAAGGTGTATTTGTTAACGAAGTTCTCATTTTTATGCCAGTAGAAAATCACTTCTAGTAGTAGTATTTTTACTTTGTATGATATTGGCTTGAGATAGTTTTAAAGAGAAATATGATCGACGTGGGTTCATATAGCCAATCCAACTTGTTTGAGATTTAGGCGTAGTTGTTGTAAAGTTCACATTTTCATGTGGCAATAATCTCTCTCAAGTGAACTCAGTGAGTATTTATATGGCCGACCACATTGTATGTATCAAGCTATATTGCTCGAACTCTCAAAAAATTATTGCCACATTCGTCTGCAATTCTCAAAAAACGCACTACTTTCGGAGGATCCAACATGCACTTGTCCGCATAATTGAAGAGTCCGGGAAACATAGTAGGGATCAAGCATGATTTCTCATATTGTCTTTGTGTAGGTAAAGGATTTGCTCAAGGAAAAATTTGCCTAGGTGAAATTGAAGCTGTTCAAATCACCAAGTTTAAGAAAATTTGGAGTTGTAGTCCATTGTTTGGCAAATCAAAATCAGTTTCATTCTACAGGCCAGATGAAATTCCACAAGGATTTTCGATCGTTGGCCACTATTGTCAGCCAGATGGTGAGAAGAACATAACAGGCTATGTTCTTGCTGTCAAAGGTTTGAAGCCGAAAAAATTACTTCAAGATGCAGCTTCCAAGCTTCCTGCTCTTGCAAAGCCAATGAACTACACTTTAGTTTATAACGCAAACACTCTTTATAAGGAAGTTGGTTACATTTGGCTTCCAAATGCACCAGTTGGTTATAAAGCAATGGGCTTTGTGGCTACTGCTGAGCCTAATGAACCGAATCTTGATGAAGTTAGATGTGTCCGCGCTGATCTTACAGAGAGTTGTGAGACTTGTGAAGTTGTTTTTAGTGCAAATTCATTTTTTGCAAAGAGGCAATTTCAAGTTTGGAAAACTAGACCTTGCAAGAGGGGCATGTTATGTAGAGGGGTTTCAGTCGGGACGTTCTTCTGCAGTACGAGCTTCACTAAAGGCGATGAACTCACAGTTGCATGTTTGAAGAATTTCGACTCGTCTCTACAGGCAATGCCTAATCTTGAGCAGGTCCATGCACTCATCAAGCACTATGGACCTACTGTTTACTTCCATCCTGATGAAATTTACTTGCCCTCATCCGTTCCATGGTTTTTCTCAAACGGAGCTCTTCTATTTAAAGATGGTAAGGACAATGGTATTGCTATTGACGCGAAAGGCTCAAACTTGCCTGCAGGTGGACGAAATGATGGGAAATACTGGCTTGATTTGCCTAATAAAGATGTTGAAAATAGACAGACTGTGAAATGTGGTAAAATTGAGACCGCGGAGCTCTATGTTCATGTTAAACCGGCTGAAGGAGGAACGTTCACTGATATTGCAATGTGGATATTTTGCCCCTTCAATGGACCAGCTACACTCAAAGTAGGCTTGATAAATCTTTCCCTGAATAAAGTAGGCGAACATGTTTGTGATTGGGAGCATTATACTCTTCGTATTAGCAACTTCTCAGGGGAGCTCTGTAGTGTATACTTCTCAGAACATAGTGGTGGTGAATGGGTTGATGCTCGTGATTTGGAGTTCATCGAGGGGAATAAGTCAGTCGTATATGCATCAAGAAATGGCCACGCGAGTTTCCCACATCCTGGATGTTACCTTCAAGGCAATACAAAACTTGGTATTGGAGCAAGAAATGATTGTGCAAAAAGCAAATACTATGTAGACTCTAGCAGTAAGTATCGAATCATCGCTGCTGAGTATCTTGGAGAAGGAACTGTGGTAGAACCGCCATGGTTACAATACATGAGGGAATGGGGTCCAACCATTGAGTACAAATCGGGTTATGAAGTGGACGACATAATCAAACACCTTCCATCTTTTTTCAGATTTTCAGTGGAGACTCTCGTCGAGCTATTTCCAACTGAACTTTATGGTGAAGCAGGGCCAACAGGACCTAAGGAGAAGAACAACTGGTTCGGGGATGAAAGGTGGTAAGACAGAGGCGAATCCAGGATCCAAAGTCACTAAGTTCAAAATAAGTATGATCTTATTATACGTTTTTCCTTTTTGTGCATATGTATACATGATTGATCCGAAAGCAATAGGTTCAGTTGAACCCACATATTCGCATCAAGTAATAGGTCTTTCAACATTGGTTTTGGAATTCTTAGAAACTTGGATATATGTATTATAAGTAAATGACTACAATATAGTGAAATTTGTTATATATATCCCAAAAAAGAATGACACAATTAGTACTAGTTGATTGTTATGTTATTTGTTGATCTCATCTTTTATGAAATTTATTGATATCAAAAAAAGAATAATGGGATCATAGTTTCTAATTGTATTAATTTAAATAGTGTTCTTCTTATCTAAAAAGGAATTATGTCCTTAATACTGATGAAAAAAGAGGTAATATCACTACTTCAATATTAATTCGAATCAAAAGAATTTAATTAAAGTAAATATTTTCACAATCTAATCTCACATTTTTCATTCACAATAGTTCTTGTTCAAATGTTATTTTGGCAGTAATATACAGATCAACTTACACACATTTTGACTATCACTAAATACTTAGACAAATTCAAGTTGAATGAAATAACATAACTTTTTCGTTTCTACTAAAATTCGAACCTTGTTCATGATTTTTATTCACAACAACTTTCATTTAAATTTTAACGTAAAGTGATCTAGATCAGCTTACACACATTCTGACTATCACCAATATCTAGACAATTTCAAATTTACTAAAATCTGAACCATGATCATATCTGACTTCATTCAAGTCATAAATTGATATACAGATCAGCGTACACACATTCTGAATATCATCAATCCCCAGACAGATTCAAATTAAAAAATAATAAATAACATAATGTTTTCCTTTCTACTAAAATTCGAATCTTGTTCACGTTTTCATTCACAATAGTTTCATTCAAATATTGTCGTAAAGTGATATACAGATCAGCATACACACATTCTGACAATCACAGATATCTAGTCAAATTCGAATTGAAAGAAACATCATAACTTTTCTCATTTATACTAAAACTCGAACCTTGTTCACGTTTTCCATTCACAATGAATTTCATTCAAATATTATCATAAAGTGATATACAGATCAACTCACACACATTTTGACTATCACCAATACCTAGGCATATTCAAATCGAAAGAAATTACATAATTTTCTCGTGTGTACTAAAATACCCTCATTAACTTTTTCGTCTTTTCACTTTTCGAAATTTAAACTATCTAAATTTTAACCAGCATTTTAACACATTTTTTCATCATATTAACATAAAAAAAAATACATCTATTATCTTTCCTTTAAAAATAAAAATTAGAACTTTAAAATTAGTTAAATTAAGTCTCCAGGTGAAAAAAAATACACTTATTTTGAGACGGAGGAATTTTTTTGTTATTTTTTACTCTTATACCCCTCGACCTTTTTGTCATTATCAGCATCCCCTTACTATATATATATAGTCCATCAAATCTCCAAATTCCAAAAAAGAATACTCAGTACAGCAAAATCAAAAGTTCAAGAACCTCCATTTTTTCCTCCAAGTTCCATTTTTTCTTGATCACCCACAAAACCCTTTCTGGGTTTTTGCATTTTTTTCATTTCAAGAACACCATTTTTCTCCATTGTTTCAATAATGGAGTCAGATATGAATATACCCAGAGAAGAAGCAATGTATGTATCAAGAATATGTTGGTACAAGTTCAAGAAAGTGGCAAGACTTGCTCTGTACACACCGTTCGTTGTTTGTTTAGCTTCTGGGACTCTAGAAAATGATACATTTCTGAGTTTCTTAGGTCAAGATAATTACTACTACAAAGCATTTGCTAAAGCGTAAGAGTTCTTTACTTAGTCCCAATTTGTTGTTTTTTCGTAATTTGGAGGTGAATTGAGTTGGGTTGATTGGTTTTTGAGTTAATGGTAAAAAATACAACTTGATGCTGAGTTGGCCAAATATTTGTTTTCAATTGACAATAGGCGCGAAAATGGAATTTTGGATAGTTGATATTAGGTAACTTACGAAAATGTTATAGTTTAGGTGTGTTTTTGACCATTTTCGTGTAACTGCAGATATAGTAGTTAAGTTGCTGTTATTCTTGAATGAAAATGGTGGAATGATATACATTTCTTGTAATGTAAGTTATAGTTTTTCAGTTTGAATCTTGGGACTGAGTCTGAGTGAGTAGTCTTTTTGTTCTTGTTAGGCTTAATCTGTTCTGCCATTTTTCGGTTATTGATTGGGTTTTTAGAGTTTCTGTTAGTGTGACAGTTTCCATTTTTGGTAACTGCAGATAAAGTAGTTATGTTGAAAATAGTGAAATGATATACATTTATTGAAATGATATACATTTCTTAAATCAAAATAGTGAAATGATATACATATCTTGAAATGTTAGTTGAAGTTCATTCAGTGGGAAATGTTTTGAACAGAGGGTGCTCTTCTTTTTAACCTTTAATCTTTAATGTTGTATAGCTATCCATGCAATGGTGTTTGCTGCTAATTTACGACATAATAGAGCAGAATCAAACTATTAAGTGTCGAAATGCAATGGACTTTGTGAGAGCAGGATGAATTTAGAGGAGTTATAAAGTGGATGCTAACAAATTTAGGATTGAGACATAAATGGTTGATTTCGTTTCCAATGAGAATATGCAAGAAATAATCAAATTATGGTCCGCCATCTTTTTTTTTCCGAGTGTCGAATGGTTACTTTGGGGGTAGATTATTGGTTTTTGGGATCTCTTTTAGATAATCTTGGAAAATTATCATTGGAAATGTTATCTTGATCTTTCTTGTCATAATATGATGCAGGATTTTTGGGTCTAGTTGGTTTTGGTTCCTCCATATTGGTGCTGATAAATGTTTGAGTTTTTGGTTGTGAATGAACTTGTTTTACCTATGTATAAGTTGGTTGATATTTTTGTTCTGTCTATGAAGTTCATGGAAAGTTAAGAAACACCAAAAATGTGTTGCAGATATGAAGCTGCAGAAAAGTATACTGATGATGATGATGCAAAGTACGCCCTTCGTGACTTGCAGAGGATTGCCACTAGAGAATTCAAGGTTCAAGACTCGTTTCTTCAAGTGAGATATAATGTTCTTTCTCTTGTTCACTGTTAGTTCTATTTCTCGTCATAAACTTGTTTATCATTGCTTGCTTGCTGCTTATTAAATATAATATTAGGCTATTATAGTAAGCGAAGTTCAATGTAAATCTTAATTTTAGATTTCAGCCCAAATCCCAACTTAAGTTGCTATCAGCATCTTTATATTTGCTGCTTAGAATTTCATAGTTTTGCATCTAGTCTAACTAGTACTCTTGACATGCAAAGCTTAAATTCCTAGAAAAATCTATAAGCAATTGCACACAACAGGATGGCATATTGTAGTCCATTTAGAATGTGTTCTAAGAAGAGGGCTTACTAGGCACATAAGATGTCTTGAGGAGCATATAAGTAAGATTGTCGAAGAATCCGGAAGAAATATAGTGGAAATAAGGAAAGTGAGGATGATTAGAAGAGAGGAAGACGAAAACACGAGCTTAAACTAGGTCAACAATGGGTATAGGACTGATTATTAGTGATAGTTCAGATAGGAAAAACGAACATATGATAGTTCGGGTAGAAAACTCACAAAAACATGATATTTCAGGTGTGTTTTTGATCATTTATCTCTTTTTCTTATGACACCACTTTTGAAGTGCTAACCTTTAAATTTCTCATTTTCTTTCATAAATCATGAATCACTTTTAGGAGTGGGATGCTGATATTGGCAAGAAGTGCACTCTCAACCCCATAACACTCAAGTTCACAGAGTTCTTAAAGGCTACAGCCTCAGGAAAGATTGAAGGAGTATGCGCTGAAAAATTTGAAACAGAGTTTGAGAGAACCAAGTTGCCAGCTTATATCTTTGGTGCTATGATTCCTTGCCTTAGGCTTTATGCCAACCTTGGTAAGGAGCTTCTGGTGTTTCTTCAGGGAAATCCAACTCATCAATATAGGATAATCATTCGAAATTATGCTTCTGAAAGTTTGGAGGTTTGTGGCTTGTCTGTACCTTCCTTGTCATACTGCTGAATTCAGCTGGTTTAAGATATAACATAATGTAGCACACTTTTACTGCACTGGCTCACTTATATTTTCTGAATACAGGAATTGGCTAAGAAAAATGAGAACTTGTTGGACAAACTAAGCATCACTTTGACAAGCCACGAGCTCAGCATCGTTGAGAAGCTTTATGAAAGGGCAATGAAAATTGAAGTGGGGTTCCTGTTAGGGCAGCCACTTGATCAGAAATCTGTCATCCCTATATCAAGAGAGCACAATCTTGATGAAGAACGGCTTGTGATATTCTTTAAGTTTGATTCAACATGCTCGGTTATTGATTCTTCAGCCATCTTGGCAGAAATGACAATTGTATCAGCACCAAAATCTGATGAAAATCAACCAGAGAACCAACCAGAAAATCAACCAGAGAACCAACCTGAGAGCCAACCAGAGAATCAACCTGAGAGCCAACCAGAGAGCCAACCAGAGAATCAACCAGAGAGCCAACCAGAGAATCAAGTTGTTCGACTATTGTCAGAAGTTCTTAATAGTACATGGGACGATATCTGTAAGGACTATACCGACGAATATGAGCAATGCATAGACACACTGTTGCTCACTCATGAAAAAGGTAGACATTCATTCTTGTTATTTTGCTGTTGTTTCAGCCTTGCAATGGTAGGATATTGCCACTGCAGTTGAAATGAATTTGATTTCGAAGAATTTTTTCCTACTTCACAGCTGAAAAACTTGATTATGAAAGGCTGCATAAAGCACTTGAGCAGCTTTCAGATTTTGAGAAAAGAGCTAATACAAGGGTGAGTGAATCTGGAGTACTGAGAGGTCTGAGACTTGACGGGATAAAGCGAGTTGGTGAGCTGATGGTTCTCCAGGATGGTTGTAAAAACTTTTTCCAGAGCATAATAAAAAATGAACAGTTGAATGCAGACATTCATGCCCTCTCCTGTTGTTGGTGCAGTGACCTTATAAGGTCTGCCTTTTCATCAGGTACTTTCTTGTAGATTTTATTGAAACATATGGCCTATGATTATATTTTGGTTAGACAACATAGTATTCTGCTAAAGTTTCTCAGACTCTTAATAATGTCGATAGGTGTGTGTCGGATCCTCCAAAAGTAGTGTAGTTTTGGAGGATCTAACATGGGTGCGACAACATTTTTGGAGAGTCCGAGCACCATACCTTTTAACTTGAGGTTGACAACCTCTCTAAAAATCTTTCCTTTTTTGCCTTGTTGTGAACAGATGGTTTGGATGTTGTGCATGTGCACGCGAATGAGTTTATATTTGAAGAAAATCTATCCACTGGTGTAATTGTTAGTAAAGTTGAAGGCCCCTTTGACAAGGTTCAAACCTTCAGTGAAGTTTTAAACAACTACAACGATGACAAAAAGAACCTGACTGTTCACATTGGGGATACAGTGAGTGATTTGCTTTGCTTGCTGCAAGCAGATATTGGCATTGTGATTAATCCAAGCCCAAACCTGATGAGAGTTGGGAATCATTTTGGTGTTTCTTTCATTCCGCTGTATCGTGGCATCATTGAGAAACAGAAGACTTATGCTAAGAAAGACTCAACTAGTTGGAACAAACTCTCTGGTGTTCTATATACTGTTTCTAGCTGGGCTGAGATTCACATGTTCATACAGGGATCGATATACACAGATTAGTCGTGTTAATTAGGACGTACAGAAATTCATACATAGTGGTAGTAGATCATCATACATACAAGTTCTATTGCAGTCCACAGAATCAACTCTTTTTTACAAGACCATCTCTTCAGAAGTGTAAATCTTTGATTCGTTGAATCGTCATGAGGAAGCTGGTGTTTCAACAATATTGCTCAAGTGTTACATACATGGTTGTTACAGATATATACTTGTTGTTAAGTATACAAGAAAAGGCAGTGATTGATTTGAGTTGTATACATTTTTAGTTTCATAGCTTTGTTTTTGGTTCTGCAACTATTAAGAACAACTACTATTGTTAATGCATAATACATTCTATACATTCAATCATCTAGTTATTGTTTTTGCCTTTTTGTATTGTTAACCTTTTTTTTTTTTTTTTCTCGTTTGAGATTGAGGCGTAGTAGTTGAGGACCCCTCACCTCCACCTCCACCTCCACCTACACACACGGGGAGGGGGGAGACTAGCCTCATTACTCTAAGTCAATCACAATAACTATGAATGATTTGAGTCTTCAATCGAGTACTCGAGGTTCATCTATTAGTATATTTTTTTAATGATCATTTAGGATTTAATCCTTCTAGTAAACTTATTAACATCTTCGGATCTTGGTTAAGGTCGACTTTCACTTTCATATCAAATCATTGAATGCAAAACATGTATCGTTTGTACATGTATTTGCTACTCAAGTATACTTAAATGATATATATTCTTACTATTATTTTAATAACGTATTGTTTAGTTCGATGTAAATACCAATTGGTGAGTAAGTATTTTGTGAAATTAAACTCTCAAATTCATCAGCCGCCAAGCCCACTTTGTGAACCAATTCAAAAGCTCTATGCCCCCACCTAGAAAAAAGAAAATGTACGGTTAAACATAATTATTTTCATAATAATAATAATAATATAGGAGTCAAAAGAAAAACAATCTTCTGATGAAAAATCATAATTTGGTGGGTTTCATGTCACTACAACAAACCAAACAATAATTTTGTGGCAATAATATAATTATTGTTATATCAATATAATATAAGTACTTATAACTAACACTCTATATAAATGTTACTAAAGATTTTAGTGAGTTCTAAAAATAATGTCATTAACTCAATTATCATCAAAATATTCTTACGACAATAAATATTATCATTAGAAGAAGATCTATTGTCATTAAATATCCTCTCTTTTTTTGTAGTGTGTTATATTTAAATAGTTTAATTTTTTGTTTTGTTTTGTTTTGAGAAGTGGGAATTTAGTATGAAAGAAAATATAGTTAGTCAATTGTCATAAGGTAAACAATTAATGAAATTTAATTATGTTTGGCCTAAAAAGTCATTGTGAATTGTCCAATCTTGTATTATTGTTTAGTGGATTTAAGATTCTTCTCTGATTTGAATCTTTGATTATCCTACATGGGGGTGAGTGGGTGGGTTAGGACCCCACAAAAATAATTATTTGTATAATATAAGTTCATAATTGAATCCCCCACCACCAAGACCAAGACCAGGACCAAATATAATTGATGACCATCTCAAATATTTTCATTATTATTTTCCCCACTAATAATAAATCATAAAAATCCAAAAAAAAAAGTAATTATTATTATTGTCAAACTTCTGTATATTTAACATCTTTTATCTTAATATAGTATAATTCATTATTATTATAGAGAACATATAATATAATATGTTATAAAAAATCAATGTAAAAAGAATAATTGTTACCGTTAATATTATTATGGATAATGATCGATATAAAAATATCGAACTATAGAAGAATTCAATAAATATTAAGCATCTTCCTAAATCACATTTTTTCAGCAAGTAATAATTCATGAAAATCTAAAATAAAATATAATTATACTTTTTTAAAATTTTAAAAGTTGATCTGAGTAGGCCAAAGTTTTGTTTTTCTGTCTTTTCTTTTATATTGGCTTCCTCAGATACCCACTTAACCTTAAGTTTGTATTTTTATTTATAAGATATTCTATGAGATATATTGGAAAATAAATTATTGATCGACTATGTTGAGATAAATATGATTCAATTGTTTTTTAATTAAAGATTTTGAATTTGAGCCTGTGAACAAAAAAATTCTAATAAGTTCCCTCTAATGAACTTTACTCAATGTGAAAATAAATTTATCGAATTGAACATTAAATATCAAACTAGTGAGAAATTAAGTGATCTATGCACCTGTATAGGTTTTATTTACCAAAGTTATTCGATATTTATATTGATTAGAGATAGCAGATATTCAGTAAAATAATTAAAAAGCTTAAACATAGTTATTTAATATTTATGTGATTATTGATAGACAATAATTAAAATCTAATGAAATATGTAGTCGAGGTATGCTCAAACTTACTCGAACACCATTATTATTAACAAATATAAACAATATGCATGTGACACAGACCCTTTATTATTAAAATATTTTTAATCTTATCACTTAATTTGTTAGGTATCCAGTTGGCATATAGTATGCATGTATTTATTTATGTGCTTTCATTGTATTCCACCACAAAATTTAAAATAAAATAAAATAAAATAATAAAACACCTTTATTACTTGGAATTTTCTCTTATAAATATTCCACCATTTTGCTACTCAAACCCTTATCTCATCTTCTTCTTGTTCTTTCTTCATTTTTTTAAAAAAAATCTTACTATATTTTTTGTTTATAGATTTTTTAAAAATAATCTCTTTTTAAGTTTATGATGGAAATGTTAGAAGTTATTAAATATCATTATTTTTTCATGTTTATTTACCAGAAAGTTATGTGAAGATGAAAGAATCAAGAACAAGAGAAGGAAGATGAAATATTGAAGAATTTGCACTCTTAGGCAAGTCTGATGCTTGGCTTCATTTAATTTTTTTAATGATTTAGAACTTATTTTAATTTATTTTTGTTTTTAATTTTTGCTTTATTTTTCACTCCCTAATTAAGTTTAGTTTTGATTTGGGAGGTCAAGTTTTTTTTTTTTGTTTTGTTTAGTATCTTTTAAATGCATAGAGCAATCTTGTATCTTTAATTTCTTGTAATTTTGAAAGAAAAAATGTTTGTTTCACTCACCCCCTTAGTTTGAGAAAGTTATTATCTAGTTTTTTTTTTGTCAATGCAATTAATAATATGAGTTTTATGTAACCCTAATGGTCCAATAAATTAATAAATATATATAACCCTAATAGCAAAAAAAATGAAGTAAATTGTTGTGGCTCAACAACAATATAATAAAGTAGTTTTTGATTATTGTGGCTCAACAACAATATAATAAAGTAGTTTTTGATTATTGTGGCTCAACAACAATATAATAAAGTAGTTTTTGATTATTGTGGCTCAACAACAATATAATAAAGTAGTTTTTGATTATTGTGGCTCAACAACAATATAATAAAGTAGTTTTTGATTATTGTGGCTCAACAACAATATAATAAAGTAGTTTTTGATTATTGTGGCTCAACAACAATATAATAAAGTAGTTTTTGATTATTGTGGCTCAACAACAATATAATAAAGTAGTTTTTGATTATTGTGGCTCAACAACAATATAATAAAGTAGTTTTTGATTATTGTGGCTCAACAACAATATAATAAAGTAGTTTTTGATTATTGTGGCTCAACAACAATATAATAAAGTAGTTTTTGATTATTGTGGCTCAACAACAATATAATAAAGTAGTTTTTGATTATTGTGGCTCAACAACAATATAATAAAGTAGTTTTTGATTATTGTGGCTCAACAACAATATAATAAAGTAGTTTTTGATTATTGTGGCTCAATTAATTACTTTAAGGTTTTGATAATAAGAACTCACTCACTAGATTTATAATTTTGTATCTATAAAATATAGGATAGTTAATAAACGTGGACTGTAATGGGATGATTGGATTCCCTCATAAGGTCTTGTGTTTGAGTTCTTGTTTTTGTTATTGGGAGCGTCGTCCCAAAACATGAGGCGTATAGCAGAGGCGGACCCACCTTGTTCGGTGGGGTGCACGTGCATCCGTTAATTTCGGGAAAAATAATGTGTATATATGTATATCTATCTTGAGAAACTGACAGAAATTAGGATACAATTAACAGTGCATCCATACGTAGAAGGTTAAGGAACCACCCGCGAGACTAGGGTTCAAATCCAGCTAGAGTGCTATTTTGTAATTTTTATTTTAAATTTAGCTTAGAGATAATATTTGATGCACCCGAAGTATTCAAATCCTGGGTTCGACTCTGGCGTATAGTATGCAATGCAAATTTAATTGAGCTTTAATATAAATACCGATTGAATACGAGTTGAAAAATAACTTAACGAATGAAGATGTAGTAAATAATTCATAATATAAAAGTATTTACTAGTTTTTTTTTTAAAAATAATTGTTTTAATAGTGCTTTGATAATTTTAGGAAGACAAAAAATAAAGGATATTTTATAGATACAAAAAAGGGAATATTTTCATGGATTTCTATATAGTAACGTCCTTTATTATTTTAATCATGTTCTAGGTAAAATCCTAATTATCGTGGCCATAATTTAGGATAATTAAGATAATGATTATGGTTTACCTATCCAGTTTTGGTCGTGTCATTACAAAAAGTTTAGTGGAAACTCAAATAATTAATCATGATTAATTTAATTAGTTCATTTACGTGTCACGATTAACAGAAAAAATAGTATAATAAGTAAAAGAGATTAATTAAAGGAAAAAAACAAAAGATTATTGTTTACCTCTCAATTTTTGTTGTCTCATTACCAAAAAAGTCAAATAATTAATCATGATTAATTTAATTAGTTGGTGTACGTGTCACAATTAGCAAAAAGATTAGTACAAGTGTACAAAAACTAAAAGGGATTAATTTAAACAAACAAATAAAAACAAGAAAAAGAATAAATCATTTTCAATCAATTGATAATTTTCTATTGGTTAATGACTCGTCAATACCACAAGCTTAATTAATTAGATTAATCATCAAAGTCCCTAATTAATTGAAATGAGAATTCACGAGCTAACATTTTATTCATTTTTTTCGATTCGATGGGATTAATGAGAATCGAACCCTACACCTATTGTGTGGCAAACTTTGAAAAAAATAATTATATCTAAAAAGTAGTATGATTTTCTATACCGCACTTGTTTTTATAGTCGAATCTCTGGGTCTAAACACACGATTTTAATACATGACATGTTTACTTATATGCCAACATCTCTCTTGTGTTATGTATGGAACTCTTATCCAAGCGTGTCACAATCTTTTTGCACTTTTTTTTTTTTTCT